CCCTCAATCCCAGCTCCCCCCAGCCTCTGCCCCTCCCCTCATTCTCCCAGTCTCTAACTCTTCCCCCCAAAACTCTGCCTCTTTCCCCATTGCTGCCCAATCTCTGCCTCTCCCCCACCGCCCCCACCCAACTCCCCAGTCTCTCCCTCTTTCCCCCTCCCCCCACCAGACTGCCCAGGCTGCTCAGTCCCAGAGCACAGCACATAGAAGATTTGCTGTTGACTGGCCAGGCAAGCGATACAGCAGGGTTGGCATTACTGATTGGCCAGGCAGGGGAAGGACTTTTCTTGGGCTTCATGCTGGGAGAGACCCCCAACCTGACCTGGAGCTGAGCTTTGCTTGAGTAAGTGGGGAATAGGTGAGAGGCAGAAGCTGTAGAAAAGCAGAGGCAGGGGCAGGAGGCTGCTGTGGGTTTCACTGGCCCTGACCTGGGCTCAGGGCCAGAGTCAGAGCCAAAGCAGCTGCCTGCTACCCTCTGCACTTCGTATGCGAATACAAGATGAAGGGCTTTTTTCCCCTTCCAGTACTGATGGAGGGGGACAGACGGGGACCTCGTTGTATATTTGAGTAAATATGGTATTTATTTTACCCAAGTTACGCGGTCTTTCTTAAATCCCTTGCACCAAGGGAAGTGCTCCATGACATTTGGAAGAGGTGGGAGTATAAGATTGCCATGTTGACAGCTGAATTTCCATCCAAGCAGAAGGAAAGAAGACAATGCAAGAGATTTCCCTGTGTGCCCAGATCTTGAGAGAGGGATGAGTGAGGGCTGGGTTATGGTTAAAGGGGATTTCTAAGCATGTGTTTTTCCAAGCATTTCCTTCTACGTTACATAATACTGTTATTGTTTCTTTAGTATTCTGTGTTTCTGGTTAATACAGCATGCAAGGGGAAATGCAATGCAAGGTGAGAGTTACTATAGTAACTGATTATTTCATATGCAATAGAAAAGTAAATACAGTTTAGTTACATAAAACATTTGTACAGCCAATGGCATGAGTACATAGCCTGCTATGTTAAGGGTGTACCAGTGGATGCACTCTCTGTAGTGTCTGGATTAATAACTCGAGTGTAGAACTTTTTAAAGGTTAGCTTGATATTTCCAAACAAAAGAAATTTGTAGAACTGAGAAGGCCTGTAGACATTTATTAGTAATTCAAAGGGAGAAAATATTAGTACTTATAGAAAACCAAAAAATTCAAAATTTAAGGATACTTTTACCAAATGTTTAAAATCATACACATGAAAAGTTATATGGTTATATGGTAAATGATGAAAGAGAAAAACTGACAGAGTAAATGTGGAATAATATTTAGACCCTCACCCAGAAAAAAAAATATTTTATAAAGAACTTCCACTCCTTCATAAAGTATGTTTTATGCTAGTGCAGTGTACTTAGCTAATGGTTGGCAGCATTGTAAAGATTATTGCAGTAGACCTTGGAGCTCCCAGCACTGACAGCTATCCAACATGTATTGACTCAACTCTCATCATCCTTTTACACTCCCTTCCTCTGGTTTACCCTGCCACCACAATGTAAACGCTCCATCAAACAACCCATTCACATGGTGCGTCAAAAGTGGAAAACCTGACGTTCAGGGTTGTTATTCTTGTCTCAAACAGTGCTCACACTGACTGCAGCCTTCAAGGCTTCAGAGTCTGACTACTTGGTTAGAAACACGTTTTTTCACTCGTATTACAACCATGTTTACTGCCAAACCATGTCTCAAAAGTGAAAAGTACTTTAAAAACTGCATGTTATTTTAAAAGTTTGTACCTGTTTAGTTTACAAATTTATTTTCTTCATGTTTGTAATCATTACAGACATGCCCCAGCATTTTTTTTTAATGATTATTAGACAGCAGTGTCTATTTCTTGTATAAGATTTTTTACTCTCCCAACTACAGAGAATCCCTGTATTCTGCATATCAGAAATAAAGTCTGTTTTATGCTAGAAACTCCTTATTGCTCTCCATAATCGAAAGGCACTGTATGTACTGGCTCACCCATCTCATTTCCTCTCTGGTGTTTTGAGTCAACATTTTGAGAAGGAGCCCACAGTAAGTACATTGTGATCCAAAACATTTAAGTTATAGGACAAATTTTGTTCCTGAGTGTAAATCTGGAATGCTCTTCCTGACTACAGAATTTTGCCTGCTATTGTTAAATAGGGCCTTTAAATACCTCTAAAAGAATTTAATGCATGATCACTTCATCATCAGATTAAAATAACCTAAGAGTCACATTCTGCCATATTCTGGCCTTCTGTTTTTGGGTAAGATTGTTCCAAAGCAAGATGAGTTTAGTATGCATGAAATAGTTCTCAGACATTTAAGGAAAGAAATAAAATGTCAAGGTCATTGTCACTTATACTGATCTCACTGACGCTGCTGCAAGTCTGGTGTGACTCCAGTAAAGACAAAGTAGTCATTCTGGATTTATAACAACCTTCAGATTTTGGTCAAATCATAAAAGGCGCAAGAATCACAGAGTGCCTAAACGTGAATGCATAAACACATATTTGTCTTGCAAGATGTGCAAACAGAAAAACATTCTGCCATGAATTAAAGCTGTTCAGGATCTGCTTTAAGACATACAGCATATTCATGACACGCAGTCACCAAATCTTACCCCATTATCACTTATTAACAAACACAACCTATATATTCATTAATCATTGGGTAATATAACTTATGTAACGCTAACATAAATATTAACTCCAATTTGCATAAGATAGACCATAAATATGATTCATCCTACAGAATCACATTACACAAAGAAATCAATACAAAGAATCATGTTACACAAAGAAAATGTCACTACTGATCATGCTACTTTTGTCTATTATGCTTTGCTTCTTTGAATGAAAAACATTTTAATAATCTGGTAATGCATTCCAGGTATAAAATCTCAATGTCTGGAAAATATTTGGAGGCTAAGTAACGTCTCTGTGCCAGTGATTCTCAGCTGGGGTGCCTCAATATCTGCTCAGGGGTGCCGCAATGCAGGTGCTGCTGCCGCAGGAGGAGCAGGTAGACGGAACTGCCCCAGATGCAGCATGTGTGCGTGCCTGCTTTATTAGCGCTCTGATAATCCTGAAGCAGACAGAGCTGGCTCCAGCTGTAGCCCTTCCTGGTCTGACCACTCTCCCCACATTCCTCCTGGAAACAGGAGGTGCATGGGATAGTAAGTAAAGTAATGTCATTTTTATAAAGTCTTCAGACTAAGTGAATATTTACCTACATTTTAAAAGCAATGCACAGGAGAAAGATCAAACCTCCCCTTAAGAACTTGTGATCAACATACTCATTGTTATGGTTGGTTTACACACAACTACTGTACCAGCTAAATCAGTGTAATCCCTTAGTGTGAACACACACATTGATGTAACACTGTTTGACATTTTAATTTGCATCGTTCAGTTTAAAGACAAAAATAGAAAGTTTAATCTTTGAAATTCCAACCTGAAACAAGTATGTGTTAAGCAAACCTTAGCATACACTTGACCAAGCTCTGAATAAGTAAAATGTCTACACTAGAATTATTAATAATAATACAATTAAATATGTCATGTACTAAAAAAAGTTCACCTAACTATTGTTTCTATTATGGATGGATAATTTTTTAACAAGTCAA